TCGAGACCCGTCTTGCTGTCTGTCGGCGGTCCCGTGCACAGACAGCCGAGCTTGGCGAGACGGCCACCTGAAGTATAACCCTTACAGATGGTACACACGACCAGCAACGAGCCATTCGAGCAGTCACGCATCTGTGCAGGAAATCGCGGAGTGCCTGCACGTTGATTCTCGGCACTCCGCAGCATCGGCCAGAAGAGGGCGAGGCATTGCAAGCGCTCCTGGCCGTGCGCAGGCAAACTGCGCATTGCCAAAAAAGCTGGGGGCCAGCGGGCGGGCCCCTCCATTCCCACTGATGGGGCGTGGGGGCCTCTCTCAGGACTTTCGCCGCGGGTGACCTCCACTCCACCCCCGATAAATCCGTTCGGGGCCAGAGCGGTAACACAGCCGCCGCCAAACGCACCGCGAATTGGGCACACTCGAGCGAACGGCCAATAGCAGAGGACATATCGTCCGATGGGCAAAGGATGCATAGCGGCGCCGAGCTTCGCAGCACGGTCTGCCGCATCGTTGCCTACGCGCCTAAAGCGCTCGGCATCGTTGATATCTGGGCAATCAAAAGCCAGGTGCGCACGCACCTTCTCGCACCCAAGCAGCCTTTGTCCCCCAAGAGTCCGCCCCTGCAACACGAGCCCCGCAAAAGGTCGCTTGGGTGAGAGGCGCTGCAAGTTCAGCATGTCGTGCATGCTGACTACATTAGCACAGTCAGAGTAGAGCTGCGTCGGTGCCGAAACAAGGGCACCCGCCACCGCGTAGGCCGCAAACTCTCCTGCCTGTGGAGTCTGTGGGCAGCTGTTCCACACAGGGCCCCAAGCCGATGCGAGCAAATTGCCTCGGGGGCCGAGCATGGCCGCCCCCCCACCCAGCACGATTCGATTCTCGCACGACCCTGCGCGCGCAGGATCCGTCAAGAAAAACGTGACCCCACAGGTTCCGAGAACCTTCTGGGGGGAGCTCCATGCCTTCGGCAACGAAACCCTCTTGGAAATATCGGAAACGGATGCCGTCGTCAGCGCCCCCCTCGTCGGCTATCGGGGGGGATGCCATCTCGGCAGGATGCTGGAACAGTCCTGAAACGATCTCAAAGGGCGCTTGCCCCCCGTTCCGCTCGACATTGTCACGGATGCTGTCCAAGGCAGGCTGAGGCACGATGGCGGCACGTTCTTCGGCTGCAGCTGGGCATTGCCAAAGCCTGTGGTACAACGTGTCCCCAGGGGCGTTGCACAGCGAGCAGACGTCGCCGATGTCATAGCCCGCCTCGCGGGCCCTAGAGAGGGGCCAGAGACCTTGGCAGGCAAGGTACCATATCACACCCTTCTGCCTGGCCGAAAACTTCCTAGACCTAGTGGCAGCGATGACCACATCAACACACAAACGTTGCACCCCGTCGCTTCCGTACTTCGAAGCCGCTTCCCGCTCGAGACTTCTCCACACCCCTTCCCTGAGAAGGGTTTTGAGGAGCGCAGGAGGGGTGGGGGTGAGGGAGTGGTGGGCCCCCAAGTCGCTGATCCATAAAAAAAGGGAGGGCATCGACCAGCTGATCCTTTGGAGGGGCAACTTCAGGGCTCCAATCGGCCCCGAAACCGAACGCCACGTCCAGGGGATCGGATAGCTCGCATTCCAAAGGTCCCGAAGCTCGTTCCAGGAAAAACAAAAATCGGTAGCCCGAGTGTGCCTGGCCCAGACCTCTTTAGACCATCGGATTATGGGAGAGACCGCTCCAAACCACGCGGGGTCCCCTTCGATCCTGGACAAAATCGTCAGACTACGGCCGCCGGCGGCCGGCTTCATCGTCGCAGCACAAAGCCGCCGAATCTTCAAAAGTTCGCCGTCGCTGCAGCCGTGCACCTCACTGCCATAAGTGATACCTGGCAGGGGCCCCGCAACGCAGAATTTAATAGCCCTTCGTCCTAGAGCAGCTCGCTGGCGACCAGCCGCCCGACACGGCGCTCCGCCTTTGCCAGCCTCGCCTTTGCGCGAACGTTGCGCCGCCGAACTCGGCGTGCGCCTCCTACTGTATCGTCAATGCCGAGTTTGATGGCGGCATGCGAGTGAGCTCCTCCAAACGGCCCCAACCGTCTCTGGATGTGTCTGGAAATTTCCCTGGAAGACGATATGAGGCCGATCCTTTCAAGGGAAACATTCGCATGCAGACACGCAGAAAAAAAAACTATATGCAGCTGACTAGCCGCGCCGGCGAGGTCCCGACTAATCGCTTTAATCGACCCCGTCGCGTTGAGCCCCATATCGTCGATGCGGGCGTCGAAAGTCACACTCCGAGGGATGACCAGCCTGTCGAAAGCATGTAACGCAAAAACTCGGATCAGGGTCGTGGCGAAACTACACCCCGCGATGACGCCCACTCGGGCGTACATGGGATAAGCCACGACCCCTCCCAACACAACAAACCTCGCGGACCTGTACCCCGCCACGCACACCGCAGAGATGGGGTCGGGAAAGTTGTGCTGTCTACACCTTAAAGCCAAAGCCTCCAGGGGGATCCGCTCATAATACTTAATAAAGTCCCACAGCAAAGTGCAGGCGTGCTGAGACTGACCGCGAGAGCTCTCCGATCGCGCAGCCTGCCTCCAGACGACGTCGCTAGCCGACTTGTACTGGCCAGCCGCCCAAAAAGAACGTTGGTTGGCCGTCTCCCACTGCACCGCAAGATGATGACGGCACTTGCCCCAGAGACGGCACAAGCTGTGAAACACTCCTATAGGACGAAACCCCGAAGAGGGTTTAGGCAACATCGCGATGATGACGGCCCTCAACTGGGTAGGAAGGGGCCCCGTCATTTCCATCAACGTGAAAAACCGAGAGAGGGCCTCCAAGGCCCCGTCCGACAGGAGCGCAAAGTGGCGCATGTGAAACCCGTCCAGGCCCACCGCGGACCGTTGGGCAAAGGTTTTGGAGAACTTGCGGATCTCTTCAATGGGCACAGGAGGGAGGGGTTCATTGATCTTCCCAGCCTGCTTGACGGGCAAGTCTAAAGCTTCCCACAAGCCGCGGGACCTCTGGGCCTCGTCAGCCAACAGGAACTGCGGGTCGGACACCACGCAGCCGTTGGCGCTGAGGGTCGTGCTGGCCTTCCAGGCCAGTGGGTCCTTGGTGAACGCGTGAGCCCTCCTCCCTCCTTGGTCCACCGACTCCGTAAGCCAGTCCGCCCAGTCCTTACGGGCCTGCGAAGCATAAAAAATTGAGCACTGCTCAGTGAATTCGCCAACCTCGTCCCCCAACTTCTCAGCTCGGACCTGGAGCGTGTCCTCCGAAATGCTACGTTCGAGGCAATCCGAGGCCAGCTGAGAGACCTTATCCAACATATCAAGGAAACCAAGGAAAACAGGGACCTCGGGACCCGACACTTCCGATCCAGAGAGCCCGGCTTCAGGAAGGGGGCTTGCACAAACCCGAGGGGGGCGACGCAAGAACGCGGGCCGCTTCACGAGCCGGAGGCCAATCCGCACGCAGAACAGCACCCTGGAAACACTTGAAGTGACTGGCCAGCCAACGGCTCCCGTGGAGCTGAGGGTATCTGACGCAGCCTCTATCTTTCCCAAGGATGGGCCTCCAGTGGGTGATGGGCCCCTTACCCCTCGACCCCCAGACAAGCAATTCCACCCCCAGTGTCCTGACCAGCTCCCGCTCCGCCAAGCCTGCCCAGGAGGCGTACGCCTCGCTAAACAACTTGGAAGTCATGGCAGCGTCGTCTCCACGCCGTGCCCTGACAGAAACTGCATCCAGCTGGGCCTGCACACGCTCGAACTGCTGAGGTGCGGGCTGGGGCCCGCCCGTTCGGTGGAGCCGAGGGTAACGAAGGCGGCTTCCTGAACGTTAGGTAGTGCATCTTCGCCATCCCCGCGTGGAAGCAAAGATGAACTGAAAGGTGAGGAAAGAATCCCGCATCTTCAACTGGTTCGATACTCTTGACCGCCTTCGACACTCCCGACGAAAGAACGAAATAGTCCGATTCTCTGCCTTCGCCAGTGTGACAGGCAGCCTTGCCCGTGCAGATGGCCTGGCCAATGGGCGACGAGATGAAGCTAGACCCAGCAAGAGTCGACGGTTCCATGTTCCAGTCCCCTCCGACAATGAACGGTTTGCCACACGTGGACCCCAGCGCCCGACAGCCGACAAGGTTTCCAAGTTCGCTTCGGACAATCCCTCCGAGTCCCTGAAGTAAACGGAGCAAAACGAAACCGCGTCACCCTGAGGGGCGTGCACTTCGGCCGCCAAGGCCTGATGCGGGGCCACGACCGATCCCGTAGACGGCGGATGGAGCCCCAAGGTCTGCCTACACAAAATCGCGACTCCCGCCGACGGGCCTCCTCCTGGGCCAGTAGTCGCGGGAGCCCACAAACTTTTGAAACCAAGACCCAGGCAGGTGGAAGACGCTCGGTCCAGGGACTCCTGAGAGATCAGTTTATGCTCCTGGACCAAAATCACTTCGGCTCTAGCGCTGGGCAGCCAATCTTTCACCGACCCCCACGAGTTGCCGTTCACGGAGACGACGCTCGGACGAAACGACTCGGCCTCGGGGGGTGGCGGGGGGGAAAGCGGCCCCCTCGGGCGACTAAAACTGCCAGCGCGCCCTGAGGCTGGAATGTTCGAAACTGCATCGAGCGCAACGCGTGGAGGAGAAAGAAACGGCGAGCGGCCCCTCAACGCCGAAGGGTCGCTCCCAGGCAAAAAACTGGAGCCCGCAAGGCCCTCGGGAATCAGATGAACATGATGCCGCAGATCCCCCCCTTAAGCAGAGCTGCCGCCAGGGGGGGCTTCTTGTTGAGGAGGTCCACCGCCCCGTTCCGCCTGGGCCTGAACACGTTGAGAGATGGCAGCGACCTCGTCCCTGATACGGCCAGCGGCGGCGGCGTCGGGCGACCCGCCAGCCTGCTCCTCCGCGGCTGCGGCGGCTGCAGGGCCTCCAGCAGGGGGGCCGTCAGCCCCTTAGCCATCACCTGGAGCTGTGCCCCCAGGAAGGCCACCTTCAGTGCCACGCCGACGTTTGCCAACGATGCGCTTGAGGTACTGCTCATGCTCCGCCTTGACCGCCTCCGCCTTCACGACAGCGTCCTGGAAGAGCTGCTTGGCGGCTGCGGCGATGTGCTCCTTGAACTTGGCGCGGCGCTTCTCAACCTCGTCGATGTCAGCCGGCTCCAGCTCGAATTCACCTGGGAAGTCGCTGAAGAGGCCGCCGTCGTCGATGGTGATGTCCGCCACTTTGCCCGCCGCGAGGTCTCGCAGCGACAGCGCAGGCCCAGGCGCAGGCTCCGAGTCGGCCTCGATGACAATGGGGGCCACCTCCCTGTGGGGCTTCGCCACCAATGTACGATGCTGCCCGATGAGCGCTTTGGACTTCTGCGACAGGTCGCGCAGGTGCGCCTCTTGCTTGCGAACGCCCTCCACCCACCGATTGTACTTTGCCAGCTCAGCTTCCATCTTGCTGCCCAACTTCGTGATCTCTCGGTGGAGCTCCGACACTTGGTCCTGCAAGGGTTTGGGAGCTGGTCTCGCCTTCTCAGTGAGCGCGTCGATCTTGGATAGGTACTTCTTGGCGGTCTCCTCTTCCCCGTCGCGCTCGGCGAGAGACGCCAGCATCTGCAGCTCCACGGTCCCCAAGGGGCCCGAAGAAGCGCTCCCTCCTGCAGCTCCTGCTGGGCCATGCGCGGCAGCGCGTCCACCAGGCTGGGGTCCAGGATGGAGGGCGCGCCACGTGCCAGGAGCGATGGCGCCTGGAGCTGCAGGCTGGCCATGGAGATGAGACCACACACCACGAGGAAGATGAGGGTGAGCGGGTGCTGGGGGCTGCCGCTCGGCGCCGCAGCGCTTGCAGTAGGACGAGAGCATGGACGTCTTGCCGCGCCCGCACTGAACGCGCTTCCAGCGCTCGGCTGACTCGCCGCCCTTCGCACCCTTGCCTCCGCCCTGGGGCTGCGCCATGTGCCATGGAGGTACGACGCCTTGCCAGAGATGATCTCCTTGGCCTTTGCCGCCGCCGCCCCCTTTGCCGCCGAGGCGCCGCATGAAATGAACGACTGAAAATCCGTGCAAATTGGCCCGCTGACACCAGGTGCCGTTTTGAATCGAGTGCCAGCAACGCTAGTGAGCGCAAAACGGCTTGAGCCAAAATGGCCACGGACGGAGGAAGAGGAGGAGGGAGGAGGAGGAGGAGGAGGAGGAGGAGGAGGAGGAGGAGGAGGAGGGAGGAGGAGGAGGAGCCCCCCCCCCCCCCCAGCCGCAGTGGCTGTTGGTTTGCCGCGCTTCGCTCGCGGCGGCCGCCCCGCGCGGGCCGCGCGCGGGCCGCGGCTCGGCTCGGGCGGGCCGCGCCCCTGGGGGCCGCCCACCTCTCCGCGAGCGTCTTGCGGAGGCGCGTGGAGCCTTGGGGCCGAGCGCGCCCTCTGCGAAGGACGTGGTCCACCCCCGAGACCCCCAGCACCCCGTGCAGCGCCCCCAGCACGCGAGCGCTGGGCACCCTGCACGGCATGCCTTCCAAGGAAGGTGGCAGTAGCTGCATCATCCAGCCCAATCACACTGCTCGTCGTGCTGGTCACAATGGTGCTGCTGTCGACGTGCTGGTCACGGTGGTGCTGCTGCCGCGGGTGCTGTAAGTCGTGCTGGTCAACGTCGTGCTGCTGCTCTTCGTTGCGTTGCTGGCTGGTCGCCGCGCTGAGGAGTCGTTACGCCTATCTCCTTCTCCTCTCCTCGGCGCTTTCCTCTGCTGTCGGTGGGGCTGGAGGTGTTGCTGGGGTCTCGTCCCTCTCCGCGTCGGCACTGCATCGGCTGCGCGGCTCGTCTTGCTGGGTTGGAGCAGTCAGGTTCCGCGGGCGAGGACCTTCAAATGCATCTCCTCGCTGATTTTCCCCAAATGCCCCTGCACATGGACGCAGGGAGTGCTCGCCCGCCCCCATCCACGACGATGTTCGTGGCAGGTTGTGTCCTGGAAGTACTGCTGGTGCTGGTGCTGGACGCGACGTCGTGCTGCTGCTGGTGCTCAATGTCGCCATGCTGCTGTACTGGTTGCTCTCCTTCTGTGTGTGTCTCCGGCTGGGCGTCGTCGCTGGGCATGCCAGTGCTGTGTCCGTCGCTGCCGTCGGGTTGGTTGTGGGTGCTGGACTCATGTGCTGCGATGTCGAGCCAACGTTACAGCTTGTATCTGAGGTTGTTGTACCCAGGGCGTCCTCTGCATTCAGCACGCATCTTTTCTGATATGTACTCCGTGGTAGTGGTGCCACATTGCCTGCAGAGCCAACGTGTCTCTGCAAGTCTGATGATGAGCGGGTGGCTGTGGTGTGCAGTGTGGCCAAGCTGAGTGATGGAGCGCCCTTTGCTCGGTGGCGGTCCAGCGCAGCCCTGTTGGAATCAAGTTTGCACTCCTTCGGAGCACCTTTTCCCGCGTCTTGGCCTCGTCAGGTCATGGGTGGTGGGTGGGCGTCGTCCGTCAGGCTGTGGCGGGCCGTTGGCAAAGTAGTCCCGTCGGCGTCTTTGCTGCACCCGTCGTTGCTTCAACTGGGCTCTTCGTGCTGCTCGAACTTCGCGGTCCTCTGTTGGCCGTCGGTCTATGGCGTCGCCTGTTGCGGCGGCGATGCGGCGCCGCAAAAGTGTTGCCGTAGCGTTGACCCAGTCGTAGCATGACATTTGGGCGTCGCCGATGTCGTGCTCGTGGGCTGCTTTCTCTGCAAGCTTGTCACCTGGCTTTTGCCGTGCCGCGCGTGGAGGGGAAACCCTCGTGCACGTGCCTCCTCCCAAGTGAGGTGGTTGTTGGTGCTGTGGTCTGATATGTGTGATGGCCCCTGGTCGTCGCGGCGGTTGAGCTCGTCCCCGGTGAGTTCCCAGAGGTCGTCGTTGGTGTCGGCTGCGGGTTTGTTCCGATACCGTCTGTCGCGCCAACCCTTGCACACGAGTTCGCTGTCCGCCCAGTAGTGTAGTGGTCCAGTGGCGTGGCGCAGACAGTCTAGGAGGGCCCATAGTTCTGCTCGGTTGCTTGTCTGCCGTCTGCGCGGCAGGGGGCCGAGGCGTGCTGCTGCAATGTTGAAGCCGTCGTTGCCAGAGCCTGATAGCCGCGCCCAAGCCCATGCACATCTGCGGCGCCGCCAGTCTTCGCTGCGCGCGCCTCCCGATCCGTCTCCGTAGATGACTGGGGGCGGCCCGTCTGATGTGCTGATCTTGTCTGCGTGGATCATCTCGCCGATGCTGCTGGCCTCCTCTTCGGCGGTGCATTCTGGCGGTACCGACCAAGCATGCGGCGTGATGCCACGTAGCCAGAAGGCTGGCGTGGTGTGGTGGCCTGGTTCTGCCTGTGTCCGTAGTCGGTCGGACTTGGCGTAGGTGGGGTTGTCGCTGCGGCGGCTGCACTCGCCCCAGATGCGGTGGTAGTCGGTGTCGATCTGGCCGCGCTCGCAGAAGTTGCCCCCGTGGCCGAAGGTGGACTGCTGTCGCGTTCGCGTCCATGTGCCTGCGCATGCCGCTGTAAAGAGCCCCGCGTACTCGCGGTGCTTGCCGTGGTTTCTGCGCCATTGTAGGTGCCGTCGAAGATCCGTCGTGTCTGCTCCGTGCTGTTCCAGGCCCCCATCCGTGGTAGTGGCTGGCTGCGGCTGTCCAGAGCTTCGCGCGGACGTCGTTCAAGATGGCGTCGAGGATGTCTGTTGGGTCGCCAATCTCGCCGTCTTGTGGGAACTTCCAGTCGCAGCCTTCGCTGTCGATCCAGGGGTCTGGGCCTCTGGAGTCCCAGCCGAGCTCCGACAATGCCATGCTGATGGCTGCGATGGGTCCTCGGCGTTGCGTCCATCGTCGCGTTGCAGGTACCTTGAGCATCGTGAAGTAGATCTTGGGCCACGCGCGTCGCACTTGTGCTCGAAGGTCGGGGGCTGCGAGCCCAGCAACTGAACCAGTTGGAGAACTGCGTCTTCGCAATGGTGTAGGCTGGGCCCGTTCCCTCCAAGTCGATGAAGGTAGTCAGGCAGCGTCCTGGCCAAGGTCGTCGGAATGCTTGTGCGTACCGTCGTCGTGTCGCTCGTAGTGATGTGGGCGCCGGGCCGTGGAATGCGGTGCCATACTTTGTGGGTGCCACCGCTCCCTGCTGCACTAACCTGGCCTTTGTCATGGTGTGGAGTCTTTTGGGCTTGGTTCCTACTGCCCCCAATCGGCGCCTCGCTGCTGTCCATCTTGCTGCGCAGGTCGCTCGTCGGGTGGTTCCGCGTGCTGCTCGGTCTGCTCCCAGGTCGCGTCCTTCTGTGGATGCCTGTACGTCGATGCCGAGGTCGCGGAGTTGGCGCTGGATGTTCTTGGTGTCTTTGATGCGCGTGGTCATCAATGTGGTTTTGTCTGCGAGACGGAGCCCTTGTTCCTGTAGTACGAGGAAGAGGCTGTGGGTGGTGGTCACAGTGGCAGCGGTGATCTGGAACCAGCTGCCTACGATGCGGATGCTGATGACATCGAGCCAAGCGCGTGGTAGAGGTCGTGGTCGTGCGCTGGTATCGGTGAGCTTGGCCATCGCCGCGTATACTACAGTGCGCGCTACATTGTTGGCATGTCGTGAGCCTGCCAAGATGGAGCGGTCTGCGTAGAGCGGGTTGGAGTACGACCCTTGTCGTCGTAGTACTTGTGCTGCGGATTGTTGCAGCATCGTGAGGTAGAGTGGCCGCGCTGGGAACTGCATGTGGAGCGCGGACGGGATGGTCTTGTCGATCCGAGGGCTGTCGTAGAACTTCTCGGTGTCTGGCAAGAGGATGGACTCGGCCATGTTGAAGGTGTCGGCGCACTCGTCGGCGATGAGTCGCCGTAGCACTTCGCGCAGGCAACTGTTGCCCGCGATGGCGGCATCCCATTCGCGCTCTTGAACTGCAGCCACTTGGCGGACCTGGTCTCTGTGTCGGAGCTCCCAGCATCGGAAGGGTTGTGGAAGTGGCGCCAGCGCACGGTCTCCTTTCTTCGGCTTCGGGATGATCATGACGATGGATAGCAGCAGTTGCCATGGCCACGTCAGTCGGTGCTCGCATAGGTTGAAGAGGTCGATGACTGCTTGGCGTCCTGGTCGCGGTCAGCGTCGTATGCCGCTGCACCTGATGACGTCGACGCCGCTGCCCGTGTCGGAGTCTCCTTTGAGGCAGCGGTCGAGGTCCTCTACGGTCCACGGTGGAGTGGGGTCTTCGTGTCGTGCTCGTTCTCGGAGCGCTGCTAGATGTGCTGGGTGCTGGGGGTGCGGGGTGTCGCTGCATGTCCATGCCCCGGTGGAATGCGCGGCCTTGGCGTCGGCGATTTCGAGCGGGCTGCCTAGTACTTCACCTGGAATTGCAATTCCTGTTCCCGACGTGGCGCTGGTTTGGTGATCTTGTGTAGCAATCCAGGTGTCGTGCTGGCTGTCGCGAGCCACGCGCTGTACTCGCGTTGGCTGATGCGCAGATCAAGTCGGAGAGCGTTGATCTTCTCGCCCTGCGCTTGTTGTGCCATGCCCTGGAAAGTGTCAGTTGGAGTGTCTTCGAGGTTGTCGAGTCGTTGTTTCCACGGGTGGTGGTGCATTCGCGCCGAGTCCGATGCATGGCGTCCGAGTGGTGGCAATCCTTCACGTGCCACGTGTCGTCCTGCGGCGTGTAAGCTGCGTTGTTGTT